GGGGGGTTTGGGGGCACCTGCTGGGAGGGGGTGAAGCAGCCTGAAGCCCCCGCCATGCCCTGGGGCGCACCTCTTCCCCCCGTGCCCAGGCAGCCCCTTGCACTGTGCTGCTGCTCGCGGAAGCTTTTGCACTGCTGAGCCAGTCAGTATGCAAGGTGCACCTCTGCCTGGCTGCACCCCCCGGGCGCACTACCTGCTGCTGCTGGGCACCCCGGGGCCAGGCAGGTAGCTGTGGCACTGCCGCGTGCCCAGTGCACTGGGTCCACCCAGGCTCTGGCTCCCATGCCACCTGCAGGGAGGGGACTTGCAAGAGGTGCTGTAGTTGGGGGGCACTTGGGGGGTGGGGTTCCCCCCAGGGGCTGGTGTATTTGGGACTTGCTGGAATCCTTCATCTCTAGGCCCCAGCAGTGCCAGCTGTCCCATGTCACCCTTGATAAGTCCCCTCTGCTTAAAGGTAGGTTTTGAAATGCTCCCAGACCCACCTCTCCTTAGGAGCTGCTTGGCTGACTGGCCTGGGTGTGCAGTCTCTCCTCAGGGGCGCCTTATTCCGAAGATAGCACAGGGTTGCTGTGCCAGCTAGTGCTGGGCTGCATCCTGCAGGCCAAGCCCTGGCATTGCTGTGGGACTCGTCTGCCCTGGCTGTGGGGGCCTCCTCTCCAGCTCAGCCAGGGGCTCTGATTGTTCTCAGCTCGGGTGCTTATTGTTTATCTCGCCTAATACTTGGTACCTACCCTTCAAAGGGGGAAGCCTGAGGAAGGGAAGAATTTGTTTGGCTCCAATGGTGCCCACCAAGCACCTGCACATGGAGGGAGTGGTTCCTGGGGACAGGCTGTGGCCATTCAACCTGACCTGTGGCCACCCACCCTGAGGATGAGCCTACCCCTGGCTGAAATCTGCGGCTGAGCCAGGGTGTATTGCTTGTTCCTCTCAGCCCCCATCAAGGGGGTTTTCTCCTTCTGGGAAACATGATCAAAGCATAGCAGGCAACTCAGAAATGACTCTGGCTCTTTCCAGAACGGCATCAAACTGTGCCTTGAAGGTTTGCCGGGAGGGAATAGGCAAGAGAGATGGCAGCGGCCAGTGTAGGGAGAAATGGAGCTGGGTGTTAGGGAGGGTCTGGCTGTGTCTGTGCAGTGCATCATCCCTGGCTCTTCCGGTCCCTGGAGGCTGCCCTACACGGAGGTGGGTGGGGTGGAGGACAATGCAGGTCCATGCTCCAGGTTCAGCAAAGTGTGGAGCAACAGCAGATCACCTGGTTAGACTATTCTGACTCCTTGATCTTACTCTATAGCCAGTCTAGTCCTCTAGACGCATCCTCTGTCATCAGCTTGTAAAACTCCCACTGTCATCCTCCTGGCTTCCTACAGGTGATAGTGGACTCATTAAAATACACGAATGAGGAGTAGCCCATTTAGCAGTTGACCAGAAAGGGCTCATACCAAGGAGAGGGGCTGGCAACTGGAAGGGGGAGCAGGGGGCTGCAGGGTTAGGGGTGGAGGCTGGGTAGTCTCTTCCCCCTATCCAGTATGTACTGGGGTCTGAGCCCTTCTTCCTGCCCCATGTCATAAGCTTCATATTCTTTGGGCCTTTTGTGCTGTGGAGGAACATGTAGGGGCTCCATCTCTGTGTACTAGGCCCAGATTTGGAGTTAGGAGTTTAACAACTCTGCTTTTCTCCTGTCCCATCCTGCCTTTAGCTTGGACAGCTCTATCACCTCCCAAGCTTATCAGGGCATATGAGACAGCATGGAGGAGGATGGAGGTGGCTCAAAGCACCTGGCCATGATGGAGGGGGCACTGGAGAATATGGAGAGTTGGAAGGACTGGATGGGAAGGAGAGGTTTGGAGCTGTGCGGGGGGGTGGGGATGAGCAGTGGGTTTTGTCTGCCACAAAACTCCCACATCAGTGAATGAGCAGTATTTATATGATCTTGTTGCCATAGTGACAGAGCATCCCCCTTATTGTATTTATCCTCTCTAGCACCACTAACTTCATTTAACAGATGGGAACTGACGCAGCCGATGTGACTTGCCCAAGGTCGCATGGGAAATCTATTGTTGAGGAAGGCATTGAATGAGTCCTAGGTCCTAGCCATTGGGCCATCCTTGCCCTCATGCCCTGTTACACCTGTTTCCCCTCCATGTTAGTCCATCCACAGTGTCCTTCTGTTATCTCTCCAGCTCTTCCAGCTGATGCCTATCCCCTCTGTTGGGAGGACAGTTGGGCAGTGGGGATAGACTATACTGGATGGGTAGAGAGATGGGAAATGAGGTATGGCAGGAGGGGATGGAATATAACCAGCGTGTTTTGTGATTGGGGGTAATCATTGCCCAGAGTGAAAGCAATGGAGAGAGAGACCTCATGGTGGCTTTTCTGCCTTGTTTCTGGGTTTGATGTACACAGAGCAAGAGTGAGAGTGGACCAGCATGCTTCTCTGTGGTACTGTCAGGAGCACCAGGCAAGCAGCTCAGGCATGCTGTAGATTGGCAGCTGCTGTGTAAAACTGACAGCTGCTGTTCAGTAGGTAGTGCAAATTTGTCATGATACCTGCTGGGTGAAGCCAACAGGAATCTGGCTCCTGGTTTATTTCTGAAGCACCACGGGTTTAGCGCTTCTGACATTTCTTTGAACTTCTTTTTCTTGAGAAATTCTGGGAAACTTGGTTTGGCTGTGAATCATAATAAAATCAAATTTCTAAACATTCAATTTTCTTCAGAGCTAGAAATCCCATGATTTGACCCGCTCAGGCATGTGGCCTTCTGGTAGGCTGTGCATGCAGCAGTATGGTATACGAAGCAGCAAGGAACAACTTATTTGCTAATGGCTTCTCAAGTGCTAGTTAAACATCCCCTTCATATTACCTCTAGCTGAAACCAGTAGTAGGGAAGAGCTCTCTGTTGTGGGGGAGATGGGTGGAGAAGACACACAAGTCTGATCATGTACTTAACTGCCATTCTGGGTTAGCGACAGGAATTTTTTTCAGGATTTTGAGATACAGACCACATTTAAGACAGTTGCTGCCTTCTCTGCAGCACCAGTCATTGCATGTTTCGGGACAGGACCATGATCGCCACTCTGTTGCAACACAGCATTTGGGAGTGGCTGGACCCCTTTGGAACTGCATAGCTTCCATTAGCCACAGCAGCACCGCACCCGTGTAACAACAGCCTGAATGGACAGTCAGAAAACTTCTGTTATCAGAGAGAAGGCTAACTAACTCCTGATGTGAGGGGGAGAGAGTGCTGTTAATATGGAGTTAAGAAGGCCTGATGATATGCTTGTGCCACCCCAGAACAGTGAAACTTGAAACTGCTGAAAGCCTGGATGCAGGGCAAAGGTACCTGCTAACATCACCTTAATCCTGCCCTCTTCAAGCAATTGCCCAACATGCCTGTAACATGCCATGCTCTGCTTCTGTAGCTATGCAGGGTAGCTGAGCTGTTTTGTGGGGGAGAGGGATAGAGCACATGGCCCCCTGTGGCAAAATCTAGCTCTTCCTTTTGCTAAGGTAAAGCTTGTACTTAAGTAAGCAGGACTAAACAGAAGCTACCTACACGCAAGCACTGCGCTGACTCCATGACTACCCTGCACCCCTACACACACAATTCCCTCTCGCCCTGCACTTTTGGAAACCCCCAGATTGAATTATAACTCACTGCTGGCAATCCTTAGGGCAAGCAGATCCGTGTGCGCCAATTCTGATGCAACCTATAGAACCCAGCAGTGAAAGGAGGCACCCTGGATCTCTCCAGTACAAGTGTAACTTGCTTGGATCATGAGGGGCAGGGTGATGAGAGAGGCAGGCAGAGGGGCTGTAAACCTCTACCACATCCCATAACACAATTGCAGCTCTGTAGAGATCCTCTTCAGTCATCCCTCCTTCTGCTCTGTCTGGCAATGGAAGCACTTGGAGTGCAGACAGGTAGTTGCCAGGGACTATTGCCAGCTCCAGTTCAGGTTGGGTGGGCAGGTGTACCAAACACGTGGTTTCTGATTGATCAGAGGTTTGAATTTGTGCAATCTGACTTTCTGAAAAGGGACATGGATGCTATTGGGCAACCTGAACTATCCATTAATCAAGCATTTCTTCAACCTCAGATGAGTTAGGCCCAGATTCCTGTTTCCCTGCAGGCACTTCTGAATGGAGTATGTAAGAAAGGACTGTTGAGTATAAGGAGCCTTTATGTCAGAAGGACTGTGTAGGAGAAAACTCAAGATCTGCTGAGAACAATGCCCTCACGCCAAGCTCATGCTGACTGTGGCTCTGGGGAAGAGTTCAGTGCAGGGTGTCAGGACTGCTATGACATCCGCCTTTAGGGAAGGGCCTAGGTTTTGTCAGACAACAATTGGAGATCAGGCTGTCCAGTAGAGGCAGCCTGTCTTCAGTTAGAGGGGGCATGGTCCTCTGACTTCCCCCAGGAATGGGGTACGCATTGCTGGTCTGTCCCTGCCAGAGATGCCCTGGCAAGGTGTTGGCCTCCCTCCTTACTCTGTCTCCTTTTCTGCTAAATCCCCGCTATACCCCGTGAGCAGAAGGCAGGCTGTTAGCTAGGGGGCCCCTAGCGTTTCCTGATGAAGATGGTGAAGGATTCATTTGTGGGGGTAGGGATGAGCTGTGACTTGTGGGGGTAGGGATGAGCTGAGAGGTCCCCATTTGAGAGGCTGAGCTTCGGTTCCTTTGGCTTCTGTGTTTGCCAGGGTAGGTGAGGGTGGAATGGCTCCTGGCTGGGCAAATAGTGAAGTTCAAGCCAGAGCTCAGAGTACTGAGCAAGCCTGCACAGAGCACTCGCCACCAAGTGCAGCCTGGCTGAGGGCAGCTGTGTGTTTCTGGAGGTCCCTTG